CAGCAAGCTCTCTCATCTTAAAACTTGCATGGAAACCGCAGGCTTCTCAAGATGGCACAGATTCAAGGAAGACGTTTTGCACTTGCTGGAATGCAAGAATTCATACAAGTGTTTTATTGTTTCAGGAAAAGATTTCATCGCTAAACAGTGTACAATGCAGCCTATTCTGAAGTCAGACGGACGGACGGACAGGCGGGCGGGCGGGCGGGCGGGCAGATAGATAGATAGATAGATAGATAGATAGATAGATAGATAGATAGATAGATAGATAGATAGATAGATAGATAGATAGATAGATAGATAGATAGATAGATAGATAGATAGATAGATAGATAGATAGATAGATAGATAGATAGCACACAATACTTGAGCCAAATGTTAATAATTAATATGTGGGCCATGTAAGTTTGGCCAACCTTAGCGCCCTTTTAAAATACATTTTTATTTTTTTCGAATGAAGAAAAAAAAATCCACCAATCAAATCGATTAGAGAAAAATGTGTAATGCTTCATAGGTTTATCAACATTTCATAGCAGTTGTGATGCACCAATCTGGCCCAGTTCAGGCCCAGTTATGGGTTATCAACTTGGCTAAGACTTGGCCCAGATGTTGGTCCATGTTTGACCATTGTCTGGCATCCAGACTTGGTCCAGTCACCGTAATTCACTGCGGCATGTGCACCAACCAAAAGCTGACTGTGTGGGGCAGAGAACTTTTGATATGTGGGATAGACGGACGGACGGACGGACGGACGGACGGACGGACGGACGGACAGACAGACAGACAGACAGACAGACAGACAGACAGACAGACAGACAGACAGACAGACAGACAGACAGACAGACAGATAGATAGATAGATAGATAGATAGATAGATAGATAGATAGATAGATAGATAGATAGATAGATAGATAGATAGCTAGATAGATATACTTATGAATCATTTTTGTTGTCAATGTCAGACAATTCAGTCATTATACACTCTTAAAATAAAAAATATTTTCCTAATTAGGCTTACTGCCATTGATGACTCCACCCATCAAGGAAGTTTCAAATCTTATAATCACAGAACCCACAAAATCCGTTTTATAAAGAGAAAGTCTTCTTTAGATTATTAAAAAGGTTTTCACAGTTTTTTTTTTGTAACTTTCACTTAAAGATACTTGGGAAAACCCAAAAAAAGTGTCTACTGCGTGGCATCACTGTGAAATACCTTTTTTGTTCTTGTAAGTGTGTAATTAGAGGGTGACTCTTGTGAAATAAGAAAAATGAAGGCATGAAAGAAAAAGTGAGAGGCGGATTAACAAAGCGCCATCGCACGTTACTCGTCTCTGTGGGTGTGAACGACTACTAAAATAGTATTTACAAAGATAATGTAGAGGAAAACAAATACAGCGCGCTGATTGGTCCACAGCAGCTGCATGATTCTCCCTCGTCCTGATTGGTCGAGAGCGTGATGGTCTCACCTTAAACTGGGTTACTTGAGTTCAGTGACATTCAACAACTGTAGTGTGCGTGGCTTTGCTTTACGAGCCGCGCTGTTTATGAAAGGATTTTCCTATTAGAAACACGTGTCCTCCTGTCAGCAGAGACCGCTGGCGTCCCTATAATAGAGTTAGGTCATTGGCTGGCTGAATTTGATCTCATCATTTCTCAGTCTGCTGGACAGCGTTTGCTTTCTCATAGTAAATTCTGCTGAACTGGACATTCTCGTGCAGTTGCTGTGGTCAATCCTCAGATCGGTCACTTACGTAATGGCGAGCTCAGCCGCCGCCGACCGCTAATGCATGAAAGAGCCACAGACCTGCTATAAAACACATGTGGAGAACATCTGGGTAAGGGTAACAACCTGAGTTGTGTCTCTGAGTTAGTCTTTTAATTCAAAGATAGCAGCTCATGCCTGTAGCCAGCCTGGTGAAAGGGGTAATTATGGGGTTAAAATACTGCATTTTAGTGACATTTTATGCACTATTTGTAGCTGGAAAAACACACCCCCAGGGGTGGATTTATGCAATAAGCAAGTTAAGCGGCCTTTTAGACCCCCAAATAAGCATAAATGATACTATAAATTATATATAACATTGTTTTCTGTAGTGCCGTAAGGGTTTAAAATATTTAATTTAAACTAAATTATTACATCTGCACAAATGCTTCCCCCACATTTAATCATGGACCACTCTAGCAGTCAAATCAGGAAAGATTTAGGGTCACTCTTTATTTTGATGGTCCGTTTGTTGAGTTTAAGTTACATTGCATTAGATTACCAAAAATATCAATAAACTTCAATAAACTTTAAAATGACTAGTGTGACCATGTTTAATGCATATTTAATGACTTTGACATTAAATAATCTATAAAAAATGTAATAACTGTTTATTTGTATTACCTTCTCATTTTCTGTGAGAACATCAAGACATTTAATTAGTACTGTTTATATAGCAAAACCCTGCTTATTCATTTAATAAAAAAATATAATGATAAATAACAAAATAATAATATTAAATTATATTGTGTTAAAAACAATGGTGAAAATGTGCCACTATTCAGAATGACTAAACCAGACTTTGACTGGAAATCTTTTTGTGATTCTGTGATATTGGTTGAGAGCCCACATCCTCCTACAGAAAAGAACTTTCCCCCTTTTCTGTAACACAAGCTGTGGTAGCAACCTGTACCATGCAGTGCAACTAGGTTACAAGTGGTTTATTCGCATAGTCATTTTTTGTCACCCACTGAGAGCCTATATATAAACCTATAAATTGGGAAATTCCAAAGACAACCAAAACAACAACAGCAGCAGCAAGTATTATTATTATTTCAGATTCTAACCATTTTGAATAATTTAATGTTTGAAATTAAACTCTGACCGATCAATATAATTTATCCAGAGCTATCCTGATCGTATTCTAACAATGAAAAATAAAATCCTAAGTCTTATTAAAACATGTAATTAGGCTAATTATTTGGTATATTTCATGATGAAATTGGAATTTATTAAAATATCTTTCAAAGATATTTTAGTTTGACATCAAATTGATTTCAGTGCTATTACAAGTGTTACTTGTATCACAAACTTATCCAGCACATGTTTTATGCATCGGCTGCCCTTCCAGCTGCAACCCTTCAGTGGGAAACACTCATACACTCTCGTTCACACACATAAACTTTTGACAATTTTAGCTTACCCAATTCACCTGTACCGCATGTTTTTGGACTTGTGGGGGAAACCCATGTGAACGGAGGGAGAACATGCAAACTCCACACAGAAATGCCAAATGCGACAGCACTACTGCACCACTGTATATATATGTATATGTATACACACACACACACACACACACACACACACACACACACACACACACACACACACACACACACACACACACACATTTTTGTTTTGTGTAATATCCTAAATAAATAAATAAATAAATAATGATAATAATAATAATAATAATAATTATTATTATTATAAAAATATAAAAAAAGTATAATACATATTCAATAATAAGTCTGGGTTTCTCTACTAAAACCCAGCCGCGACCAGGCCTGGGATAAGTGGATGAAAATGACATGACTTGACATAATAATAAAAAACAATAATATTGATAATAATAATAATAATAATAATAATAATAATAATAATAATAATAATAATAATAATAATAATAACTATCATTGTTGTTATTATTATTATTAATAATTGCTATATTGATACATTTAAAACAATTATTTGGTATGTTTCATAGTGGAATTAAACATTTTAATAACCATTTTAAACAATGATTTTAGAATAAAACTATTGTTTTTATAACAACAAAGGATAGTTTCTTAGTACTTGCTTTAATATGTGGCCACTTTTTGATCAAACACTGAGTCATAATGTTCTGTCTGTGCCAAGTACAGTAATTAGGAAACTAGTGTGTGTAGTCTTTAGACCACCCACAGTCTGATAGTCAACAGTCGCACTATGCAACTTTACCTAAATCTAAACACACATACAGTCCTGCTGGGTGATTTTAGGTCAGTGAGTTTGGTTAGCGACTTTACCGTGAGCTGCAGTTGATTGAAGAATTGTGATAGTTGTGCGGCACCTGCTGGACAATACATGCAAATACAATCATGTGTGATTATCCTCCTAATTGTAAACTAAACTAAACTAAACTAAACTAAACTAAACTAAACTAAACTAAAATAAACTAAACTAAACTAAACTTAAATATAATAAACTAAACTTAAATAAAATAAAATAAATTGCAAGGTCTACTTTGCTGTAATGTTTACAATAAAAATATATAACAAGCATTCACATTTAAAATAATGTTTTATAAAAACAATAATTATAAACAACAGCAACAAAATCAATAATAACAATAATAAATATAATTATGATTATTATTAGGCAGTATTGCAATTATCAGGCATTTAGTAGTAAAGTTATAGTTCCTAAATTATTTATTGTTTATAATATTTATTTTAAAATATTAAATATAATACATTTTTATATTAAATATAATATAGATTTTATTATTTTTCTTGTTTAATACACGCAGCACAATTTTGTATAAAACTTTAAGTAATAAATATTATATTATATTATATTATATTATATTATATTATATTATATTATATTATATTATATTATATTATATTATATTTTATTATATTATATTATATTATATTATATTATATTATATTATATTATATTATTATGGGCTCATCTGTCAATTAAATCCCAGCTAAATTCCTACTTTTCATTCTTAATTTAGAATTGATATATTCTTGATATACAACAACTTAATCTGAAAACGTTCTAATCATTTTTAGATAAAAGTAAAGCTACAACATGACCGTTAAATAATTTAATTTACAGACAATGTACTTACCACCATAATTAGAAACTTAAGTATAAGTAAGTCAAAATAACTTTTTAAATCCATTTTATAAATCAAAAATCACTTTAAAGGCAACACGCTTACGTCATTTTAGTGCGACAGCAGCCACAGTGGATGGCGCCATCCTCACAACGTGCGCGCAGTGTTTAGATCCTCCAGCCCAACTGTTTTGATCTCACCCGGCGTTGACAGTCTTGCGGAAGGTATGTCATCGAGAACTTTAACTTTACAGAATGATTCGGTGTCTCGATACACCTTCAGCCAAAGTAGCCTATGATGTTAAACACTTCACTTTGCTCAGTAGGCCAACATGCGTGACAGTAGAGTATTTTAGCCACCCAGCTACATTCTGCAGAAGTCTCGGCTTTGGTTCCAGTTTTCATAGTTTTAGATCAAACCATTTTTAGAAATACTGATCAAAGTGATGCGGTTTATTTAAGCCTTAATTTAAGATCTTGAAGCCGACAGTTTTGCTATTATGAATATACAAATGACTATAATTTCATATGTCGTTATTTGTTGTTACTGTAACTATTGGACAGTAGTTTACGTTATCCAATGAATTTATGTCTAAGATGATCTGAGAGGGTTTCATATAACAAACTGACCCAAAAGAAGCTTTAGGATGGTCAAAAGTATTATGCTTCTGCTGTTATGAATGATAATACACTCATATTGTCATGCATCGTCGTTTCAGATCTGTCGACTAGTGTTATCAGTACTATTGATTTGTTATTGATGCTTTATGGTTATTGATTATTACTTGGTACACTGAACAGCATGTTTTGATTTGTAGTTTTTCAAGACAGTTTGTTTGGGTGATCAAAGACTTTCATGTATGTTATGTTAATTAGATGCTTATACATTTTTATAATATTTGCTTATCTGTGTCTTCTGTCATTTATAATTAGAGTAGAATTAGATTGTGTTGAGTCAAGTGTGCTTGTGTAAATCATCAGAAGTTTTAACTAGATCTACCCCCTGTGGACTTTTCCCCCCAATTTCTGTTAAATCGAGAGAATCGAGAACACGAACGAGAACACGGTTCTAAACATAAGGGTTTTAAGAACTCATTTCCAATAACGTAACTGATTTATTTTATGTTTGGCATGATGGCATAGTTTTCAGGACACTTCAATACAGCTTAAAGTGACATTTAAGACTTAACTAGGCTAATTAGTTTGACAGGGCAGGTTAGGGTAATTAGGCAAGTTATTTTATAATGATTTTTTTTATGAAGACTATCAAAACAATAGCTTAAAGGGGCTAATAATGTTGACCTTAAAATTCTTTTATTGTAGCCAAAATAAAACAAATAAGACTTCCTCTAAAAGACAAAATATTATCAGGCATACTGATTTTTGAAAATTTTTATCACCAGTATGAACAAGTCTTATTTCATTAGTCTCAAACTTCGCTAACATCATTGTTAGTAAGCATGGGCCGGTATAACATTCTGACGGTATGATAACCTTCAATACAAAATATCACAGTTTCACTGTATTGTGGTTACTGCTCTAAAACATATTTTTTAAAATATATTTTTCCCTCTTTAACCATAACATATTTTCTTTTGAGAAACATTCAAAAGATTTTGGATCTGTAAATATTCATTCATTCATTTTCTTTTTAACTTAGTCCCATTATTAATCCAGGGTTACCACAGCGGAATGAACTGCCAATTTATCCAGCACGTTTTTATGCAGCGGATGCCCTTCCAGCTTTAACCCTTCTCTGGAAAAAACTGTAAATATTCCAGGCTAAATAATTCAAATGAAATTTGACTTCTGCTGTCTTTGTTTGTTTTAAAAACACAGATTTATTCACAATTTAAAATGACATCTTTGGATATCGTTTCTGCTGGAGATATTGTTGTCAAAAAACAAAAAAGTAAAAAATATACCAAAGGAATGGTATAGCAGAAAATTTTGGTGGTTTTAAAACCTTGACTTTTCCAAACCACAGTATACCTTGAAAACCGCTATCGTCCCAGGCCTAATTGGTAGTAGAATTTGTTTTAAAAATGTTGTAAAGTTTTTTTTTTTTTTTTTTTTTTAATTAATTTTTTTTTTTTAATATTATAAATTATTATTATTCATTCATTCATTCATTCATTTTTATTTATTTTTTGGCTTAGTCCCTTCATTAATCTTTGGTCGCCACAGGTGAATGAACTTATCCAGCATATGATTTACACAACAAATGCCCTTCCAGTTACAACCTATCTCTGGGAAACACCCATACACACTCATACACTACGGACAATTTAGTCTACCCAATTCACCTGTACCGCATGTTTTTGTATTGTGGGGGGAAACCAGAGCACCCGAAGGAAATCCATGCGAACATGGGGAGAACATGCAAACTCCACACAGGGCGACAGCACTACCTACTGCGCCACCGCATTGTCCATTATTATTATTATTTTTATTATTATTATTATTATTATTATTATTATTATTAGGTTTTTGGAAACTACAACAAGATGCAATTAGATTAAGCGGGTTCACATTGAAAAATCACTCCATGCGGTGTGTTTTAGAGTAGCAGTTAAGGCTAAATCTGAATAGGTCTGAAAAGTCTTTCTAATGTTATAAAATAAACTTCTTAAGTCAGCTTTTATTTTAAAATGTTTTTATCAGAAAACCTTTGAGGATGTTGTTGGAAAAAGTAAACTGTCATGAAGGGGAATAGGGCTGTGTGATTAAAGGGATAGTTCACCTAAAAAAGAAAGTGTACTCACTATTTTGCTCTCCCTCAAGTGTTAAGCTAAGCTAAAATTCTGAATTTGATCAGATGAATGAAAAAAAAAAATTGAAAAAGTTAGCTGTTTAACTCTTTCTAAACTTTCTAAAATGAGTGTTCTTGTAAATGTCTGTCAATGGAGAAACAAATCTGAGTCTGGCTGAATCAGGCAGAGGGTCTGACCAACTGAGCTGTGACCAGAAGTCATGTTTGTCTTACAGTATATGTGGCATTGTATGTGTGACATATAGGCTACTTCTGGTCACAGCTTAAATGTCAAGTTGTAAAGGCCAGGGAAGTATGTCACATTACATCTAATCTAGGCTGTATGACATTATGCTGCACCTGATCCCAGATTGTGATTCTTTGACTTTTTGTTGTTGATGAAATAAGCTATTGTTTAACATTTTTCACAGTTCCAAACATTCAATGCATGTTGTAATTGCACATTTATTTGATCTAACAAATGAAACATTCAACACAGTTGTTGGCTCTTATTACTTATTTAACTAAAATATATAAACAAGTAGGGGCAGCATGGTGGCTCAGTGGTTAGCACTGTTGCCTCACTGCAAGAAGGTCACTGGTTTGAATCCCAGCTGGGTCAGTTGCCAATTCTGTGTGAAGTTTGCATGTTCTTCTCGTGTTCACAAGAGTTACTTCTGGTGCTCTGGTTTCCCTCACAAGTCCAAAGACATGTGGTATAGGTAAATTGAATAAGTTAAATTGGCCGTGTGTGAAAGTGAGAGTGTATGAGTGTTTCCCAGTACTGAGTTGTGGCTGGAAGGGCATCCACTATGTAAAACATATGCTATATAAGTTGGTGTTTCATTCTGCTGTGGCGACTCCTGAGGAAAAAGCTAAACTTAGCCGAAGGAAAATGAATGAATAAATAAACGGATGAATGAATGAATAAATGAATGAATGAATGAATATGTTACTAAACTAGTAATCCATACAGCAGCATTTCTTAATCCCAGTCCTCGCGCCCCACAGCTCTCCACATTTTATATGCGATTCACTTTAGTCGTTTGTTCTGATGTGTTTTCCTGTTTACATCTTTGCGGGATGGGGTATTTATGATTTTTTGTGACCTAAAATTATAATTTTTTCAAAATTTGCAGTAATATTGGCTGGAAAAATAGACTTCTGAAAATGTCTTCTTTTTTGCTTTAAGTGTTTACATCATAACACTGCAAAATCTACTGCATAATATTCGATACCTGAATGAATTTAAATGGTCATAATAAACAAAATCCTTTTTAAATTGCTTTAACAATAGCATTCAAGGAATTATGGTAAATCTATTAATTAAATATGATGTATTGATAAAGTGCCTGCAACGTGGCCTCTATGGGATATTCTACATTGATTTTGGTTTCATTCAGATGACATTAGTGTATGTTTGAATTTTAAAATGTTGTATTTATTTAGAGAGGGATACAGTTGAAGTCAGATTTCTTAGCCTCCCTTTGAATTTTTTTTCTTTATAAGTATTTCCCAAATGATGTTTATCAGAGCAAGGACATTTTCATGGTATGTCTGATAATATTTTTTTCTTCTGGAGAAAGCCTTATTTGTTTTATGTCGGCTAGAATAAAATTTAGTTTTTAATTAAAAAAAAAAATTTTAAGGTCAAAATTATTAGCCCCTTTAAGCAAAATGTTTTCGATAGTCTACAGAACAAACAATTGTTATACAATAACTTGCCTCATTACCCTAACCTGCCTAGTTAACCCAATTAACCTAGTTAAGCCTTTAAATGTCACTTTAAGCTGTATAGAAGTGTCTTGAATTATGTATGTACTGTCATCATGACAGATAAAAGGAATCAGTTATTAGAAATGAGTTATTAAAACTTGTTGAAAATTGTGTTGAAAAAATCTTTTCTCTGTTTAACACAAATTGGGGAAAAAAATAAGTGGGGGCAAATAATTCAGGGGGCTAATAATTCTGACTTCAACTGTATGTCATGGTTCTTCATGTAAGAAGAAGATGTGCTAGTTTTTTGTGAATGGATTGAACTATTTGTGAAAAAAAAGTTCAATCCATCTTTCTTGTGCTCATGTAGAGAGCATATAATATAGGGACCTGCCAATCGGAACGCAGTTCATGCATGGAACTCTTCTAACAAGCTTGTTATCTAAATAAAGTATGTTAAATAAGAGCAGAAAACCCCACTCAGTGTTTGTGCTGCAAAACTCCTATTACTGTAAAACATATTTTACTGGACTGTCCTGCTTTTACTGATTCCAGAAGGACTTTTTATGAAATTAACTCTTTTAAGGACATTTTTGACAAAGTGGAACCAGAAAAGATTTTAGAATTTTTATCATGTATTAACACAAAAAATCTTATTTAATTTATGTTTTATTTTGTTTGTTGATTTTTAAATTGTATATTTATTGTTGAAAGATTCCTGCCATGAAGATAGCCTTGGTTGCTGACATGGCACTAAATAAAAAATACATTACATTACATTACGTTAAATAAGAGCAAAATGCAAAGCAGTGGTGTGCAAGGACCAGGATTGAGAAACCCTTTCTCTAACAGTCCGTAACTGTAGTTCAGTGTAATGCATAACACTGTGTTGCAGAGCATTTGCTTTACACTGAATAATGAAATTAGTTTGAATTATGAAATTGCTACTTTAGCTTTGTAAACTTCCAGATTTCAAACTATGAGCCCGAATGGTGAAGTTCACATTTACTTTTTTTTCAGTGCAGTGCAGTAGGTGATCTGCCAAAATCACCTACAATGTAAACAATACAGGAGCGCGCCACAGCTTCCCATTGTTAAAAAATGAATCGATGTGAAATTGTGCATGTAAAACCAATTTCACCTCAGTAAAGCAGGCTAGGCAGAATAGCGCTATTTACTGATGTTTTGTTGTTAAACTAAATAAAAATCTACATTATTGATGCTGTAAAAGGTCCCTTATAAAACTGAAAATAGTCGCATCAATCTATCAGTGGCTAAACAACACTTCGGTGCATATAATTCATTCGTAAAACAACAAATCTACATTAATAAAAAAATATATATGCATAAAATAGTTATAACAGAACATTCCCTGTCTAGCCATGGTGTCATCCTTCTTCCAGTGTGCTAAAGAAACTCCATTGTTTACTCAGGATTTCATAAAGTTTTGATTCAGAGTTTGTTTTTACCGCTCTCTCACTCGTGTGCAGGTTAAGGTGGCATACATGCAAACGGCGGATCTTTATGTATAAAATACAAATCTACATTTGTGGACAGACAGTGTGGGCTACTTATCAGCCCGAAAAATTAATTGGATGAATATTTTTTGAGTCTTATGCCTTACCCAGAATATAAAAATACTTGTAAATACATTTAGATCATTAACATTAATAATTACGATTGGAGAGACTTTTAACCAGCACAGCAAAAATATGTCTGAAGACAATCACCCACTGCACCTTTAATAAAAAACAATAAAAGAATAAATAAAAGCGCATTTTACTGGAAGACATGGTTTTATAATTAATTTAATGACTAACATTAAAAAACTATATGACTTGTTAATTTTAATACAACACAACCAAACTTATTTGAAAATGCCAAAGAATGGTATTTTTATTTTTTATATAAAAAATGTAATATTAAAATTTATTTTTAATATTAATATTAAAGGTCTGCTTCACTACACTATAGTTTCTATAATTTCACACATACTTTGTTTTATTTTCACAAAACATTTTCAAAACATAAAAAAGCTTTAGCATTTAGTATGTATTTTTCTCAATTTTGTGGACATAAAAACTAAACAAATTGTATTCATTCTATATATGAAACATCAGGTTAATTCATTTGCCATTTGCACAAACCTTTTTAATATGTCAAAGTCGTATGTGATTAAATGCTCTAAATATTGAGTCTTTAGACACAGAATTGCCTGAAGTAACCTATCGCAGCTGTCACCTTCCGCATGAAACATCTTTGTACGTGCTTGCAGTGTAGTTGCACTTATCGCTCTAATAACGATGAGTTTGTTCTTCAAGCATTGCTCACAACTATCTGTCTGCAGCGCTGGAAACAAGTTCCTCTGAGCTCATAATTGGAAATGCACAGCATCTGTGCTTTGTTTATCAGTGAATAAAATTAAAAAGCGGACTCATTTTTGTCACAGCATGGATGCCATTTCAGTGGCAACTTTCTGTTTGTCCATGAGATGGAAACCTCTAAAGCCATCTGCTGCACTAGTTCTTTTTTGGCATTATTTAGGACAGGTCTCTGGAAAAAAAGAAGAAATATAATCATTGGAATTTTATGCTTTACACCAATAGGGGGCGCAGTTGGACAGCAAAGTGTCTTGGCTTGAATGTGTTTTTTCTAACTAAAACAAGCTCAGGTTTATGAAGTAGATTTCACCAAGAAGTCTCTAATTCAGATGGAACAACAGGCAGTTTAGGGCGTTGATCTTCATTTTTTTATTATCAGGCCACTGCAATGCTGTCTTTACATACTGTTTTTAATGTAGCTCAAACATGAACATTGATTTTGTTTGACACTGAACATTGTGATTTGGCTTATGCTTATTTTAGTAAGTCATACATGTATTGCTATGTAGTTGGTCAGAGTTATGTAAAAACTTTGAAGAATGATTTATGTATAAAGGTGTGTTTAGTGCTTTATATATTCACAAATGTATTCATTTCAGCAATTGTAAAAAAAATGTAATGGCAATTTTGTTTGTTAACTTGTACCTTTGTTAAGCTCACTAAAGATATAATAGTAATATTTTGCATGCCAACATACAAACACTTTTGGTTGAAAGAACCTATTGCTTTTATTTTGCTAGGATGCATTAATTTGATGAAAAGAGACAGTAGATAATTATAATCTTTCAAATAGAGTTTATTATATCAGAGTTCTTGAAAAAATGCCACAGTTTCCACATAAGTATTAAAGAAATATGAGGAACATTAATGTTAATAATGGATGCTTCTTGAGCACTCAGTTAACATCATTTAAGCAATTTCAATTCTGAATGATGCTGAAAATTCAGCTTTGTTAGTACAGTAATAACATATGACTTAACATATAGTAAAATAGAAGCAATTTTTAAACAGTTAATTACATTTCACAGTATACCTTTTTTTCTGTTTAAAGTAAATAGATCTTTGGTGAGCAGTATAAGTTTGTGACGGCATGGTAACCTTGGATAAAAATATTATGGTTTCACTGGATAACAGTATTGTGGTTATTGCTTCGAAGAATTTTTTTTTAATGTCTCAGTAAAAAACAACAGCACATTTTCCCCCATACACACAATATGCAGCATTTTATTTGACAATTTTTCAGTTTACAAATCACATAATGTTTTAGAACCGTAAACATGTCAAGCTAATTAAAATAAATCCTTGACTTTTGCTAGGTTCTTTAGTTTACAAAGCACAGATTTCTTTACAGCACAAAAAACTTTTACAAATACCTTAGGAACATGTTATGCTGAGCTGGTACAAATAAAACTATTGAATAATGTCCGTTCATAAAAAATAATGGACCTGCATGTATTAGTATGCTATCAAGTTTGGCTTTATTTAGTTATTTATTCATTTTATTTAGTTATTGTGTTGTGGAAAATAACTAGTAGCCAGTTACAAAAGTTTCATAAAAAGCAAACAAGTCTGGCAGGTAGAAATGCAAACTGTGGTTTTTCAAGCTTCTAATCTAATAGGTTGATTAATGAGCCGTATCTTGTGCTCTGTTTGTGTGTGCAGCTTTACCTGATGGACATCCAGAGCGCCAGTTCAGTGGTGCTGCAGGCTTTGACCCAGGCCACCAGTCAGGACACAGCTGTGCTGAAGCCTGCAGAGGAGCAGCTTCGCCAATGGGAGACGCAGCCCGGATTCTACTCAGTGCTGCTGGTGAGAAACTGCGCCACAACACGAGCAGTTTTACCATTTAACAGTGGGAATGTTCAGTGCCCTTCACTAATATTGGCACCCTAGTTAAAAAACGAGCAAAGAAGTCAATGAAAAAAATCATTAGTTGGGGTTTCATCTGCTTGTATAAATGCACATTTTGAAGTATCTCATGAGAAACAAGAGGTTGGAAATTTATGTTAAAAATTCTTTAGATTGCACAAACAATTGTAAGGTGGTTTTAGACAGTGTTGGTTATACATTACAAGTAACGTGAGTTGATTAGGCCCCGTTTACACTAATACATTTTTGTTTTACAATGAATAGGTTTTGCTACGTTTACGCCTTCAGTCCACACTTCCCCGGAGTTTTCGAGCGCCGAAAATGGAGCATTTTGGAAATGCTGAAGAGGCCGTTTTGCTTTTAAAATGCTGCTGCTCCGTGTAAGTGTGGATGGGGAAAGCGGAGACATTTGAAAAGGGAGAAAGGCTGCAGACATTCCCATATCTGATTGGGGCTTTTTCCTCAATATTAAGTGGACAAAGTTCAATGTTGCATCCTCTCCTTGTAAGTTCAAACGTCGCAAGTTTGATATGGAAAACAAACTCCAGAGGACACGTCAGATAAATCTTCAGAGGGAACAGTGTAGGCTACTTAACAATACAATGAAAATGTGATATAAGGAACTGCCTATTTTCATTTTGATAGTAGCAATTTAACAGACACCAAAAATGCTGAGGCATCGTGTAGGTACATATTTAATTAGCGTCATCTTCACTGTATGCATATTTATAACAACATGGGGCTCATAACATAACTGCCTCCTTTCATTTTCAGTGAAAAATACAAAACACACCCCTGCTCTTTTGCATTATTTATCAGTTTTAATAGTCAATAATGGCCATTAAGTTTATACATAGGAAATAAAGACAAGCAATCAGTCAAATGTGCAAAATCAGTACTGGTGGACATTGTAATTAGCTATTAAAAAGGTTTTATTTTTTCATTTCCGTGAATACATGTAAACTGGATCATTTAGGATGGCCAAATTATTTGCTAAAAGAATTTTACATCAGCAAAGGAAGCAAATTTGGCATATTATTGTGAAATTCAATTGATGAGTTAATATAGATCTGTGTATATCAAACTTAAATATCATTTTTAGAATGAATTGTGTTTAGGCTTTTACTCTTTATGTTTATGCTTTGAGTCTTTTATTAAATACATGATATGGAGATGTTTTTGTGCTTATGCCAGACTTGCCATTTTGTTTCTTTTGAATAACCTTACCTGTTGGTTCACGTCCAAAAATGGGCTGGAAAAATATTGAAATCATTATATTTAAGCCACTTAATTGATTGATTTCGGTCATATCGCTCGCTTCCAGAGCTAGACACCATGAGAGCCTGCATAACAATGACTTTTCCCTCTGAGAGATTGAATAATGGTCTTGGCTTGAGAACAGACCACCATTACAATAAAGTCAGATCCATTTCATCTATCTTCAGTTTCAACCCTGCTGGACTTTTCCACTGAGAACAGAACAGTAATGGGGTCATTATGTAGTAACTTTTGAACTTCATTAAAAGCGCATGGGCTGGATTTGCTTACAACCTGAGTCAGCGCAAAAACTCCTGTGGTCCTACTAAAAGTTCCTCATTTTAACCTCGTTAAAATAAATAAAAATCATTGAAAAGACAAACTTTTGTTTCTGCACCTGACCTTATTGTTATGCATCTATTATACTTATAAGTGTGTGTGTTATTTGTTTTTGGCTTTGTTAGAAACTGCTTTTGCTGGTGAATATTGTATCTAAAGTTTAGCTCACTTAATACCAACTTCTTGTTTGTTGAACTTAAAAAAAAAATTATATATATATATATATATATATATATATATATATATATATATATATATATATATACAGTTGGTCTCTCGTTATAACACAGTTCAGTTTTTGTGGCCTCGCAATTTCGCTGATTTTTTTTTCTCGTGCAGTTTGGATTTTTTACAGCGCATTGTGTTCTGCATCCTGATTAACGCATTGTGTTCTGCGTCCTGATTGGCTGTAGACAACTGGCAATCAATTTCCTTCGTGCCGTGTCTACTGTACAGAATGCGCTAAGCTTGCCAAATTGACATAAATCTTTGAACGTTAGCAGTGTGACTCTGAAGTAACCATCAAAGGCACCTGCGGTAGCACCCAAAAGTCAGAGGAAGATGCTAACCATCGCACAAAATTTGAACTTCTGGACATGCTAAAAGAAAGTAGAAGTTACGGGGCGTCATTACAAAATAAACAAATAATCAAATGGTTTTGATCTTTGATTTAATACTATAATACTGGACTTATTTTTCTACGAAGATCTGAACTTTGAGTGAGTTTCTTCTTTTAATGGATTTTGTCTATTGTGAGTTATTTTTAGAACATGACTAGCGCGAATATTTAGGGCCGACTGTATTTTAAGTCATATTAAAGTAATTCTAACTGCATTCAGTTATTGAGTAAAGCAAGTTATTGAGTAACATACTCCACGATTGGATAATTCCATAAGAAAAACATCATGAAAATTTGCAATATTACAAATTGCATAAATATTACACACCCCTAATCAAAATATATACTGTGTGTGTGTGTGTGTGTGTGTGTGTGTGTGAGTGTGTATATATATATATATATATATATATAAATTTAAATAATGGAATTTTCATTCATTCTTTAGCTTAAGGCTGATTTATACTTTTGCGTCAAGCGCACGCGTATGATCTGGTGCAGCCTGCACGTGGTCGCATAGCCCTTGCCATGACGCATCACAATGATGCATAGTGGAAGCTCTGTGTTTGGTCAGCTTGGTAGCGCTGACGAGTGTGGGCGGGACAGAGAGCCGCATGAACCCTTTACGGCTGATTTATACTTCTGCGTCAAACGCGGGCGTATGCTATGGCGCAGACGCATAGCCCTTCGCCGTGGCCGTCGGCGTCGCTGACGTGCACCTCTCAAAAAATGTAACTACACGTCGCAACGACGCGTAGCGAAAGCTCTGAGATTGGTCGGCTTGGTAGCGCTGACGAGTCTGGGCGGGACCGAGAGCCGCGCGAATGGTGCGAGCCTGATGGAGCGATTGTTTACAAGTGTGGAGTCCCGTGAAGGACCTCCGGATGGAAAGTTATGTTTTGTGTTTACCTCATAGTTAAAGTTGTTGCACGTCCGCCGGTTCCTGCCTCAAAATGAGCGCGTTTGAGCCACTTGTAAATCCCGGAAGTGTTCAGGAAAAGCAAAAAAGCAGCGAAGAAACTCGACACAGAGGAACATTTACACCTCTCTGCCAACTAGCGTTTCGGAAGTGTTAATGGAGACCAACAGAGACAGCTCGCAGAAGTATAAATGCACAGCTACGAGCGTTGCATGCGCCGTGGGTTACGCCGGTCACTTGACGCAGAAGTATAAACCAGGCTTTAGAGGAAATGTTTACAAGTGTCGAGTCCCGTGAACGAGATCCAGATGGAAACTTGAGATTTGTGTTTACCTTATCAGTATTTCCTCTAGGATTTTTTCCAGCTGTGGCGGCAGGCCTTTTTTACACAGATCTACCAACTACCTGTGGCGTGATTTCAATGACCAATGTCGTGAGCACAGTATTACTTGTCGAGATCGCATCTATGTAATAGCCTACAGCTTGCAAATCTGCTTGCGCGCCGATTTCCTCTGCTTGTGCACAAAACTTCTTGCACGCCCCCTCAAATATACGCTGCAAGAGCAGATCTTCTTGTGCGTTCTTTAATAAACGCTTCTGAAGTGCGATTTAGTGCGTTTATGTAGCAAGTATGTCTCCAACATTTATTAGATTTGCTAGGAATATTTATGAATGTCTCCAATAGACCTACAGAGTAACATTAATGCATCCTGAAGTAAAATGAAACGGCTATATGTCGTGTTTGCTGGCCTCACGCATCTGTCAGTCAGTCAACACGTAACCTTAAAGGGTTAAAGAAATAACGCACAGCACTACTACGGGACAGAAAGGTTTGCACTGTTATAATTCACTTACCTTTTAATACGGTTTGGTGCAATTATCACTTGCTATTTAAAAAAAAAAAAAAAAATGACTAAATGAGAAGCTGTAATGTGTGGTGGGATCAATTTTGGCGTGGCGTTCCGTCATGGAAGAATGATTGTAGTGGAAACCATGCTGATGATTAAAATTTTTGCATATCTGCCAGTTCCCGCCTCAAAATTAGCGAGTTTGAGCTACTTCTACATTAAGATAGCGTTCAGAAAAAACATAACACCAATGAAGAAACTCAACACAGAGGAACATAAAAACCTCACTGACAGCTAACGTTTGGAAGTTGTTTTGCAGAGCAGCACAAACAGCATGCAGAAGTATAAATGCACGGCTACACGCAAGGCATACGCCATGGGTCATGCCGATTGTGCGTCACAGAAGCATTAACCAGGCTTTAGTCTCTATTCCAGAGGTTGCCACAGCGGAATGAACTGCCAACCTTCTGGCATATGTTTTACGCAGCAGTAAAGACAGTTTTACTGTTACTATTCTTATTCCCAGGACAAATTTTAATTTATTTATCAAAAGTGAAACAGAAAAATAAAATCAAATGTTTTTATTTGATTTCTGTTTATTAATATATTTGTTTTATATCATATATTATTGAAATTTGAAGTTGTTATTATATAATCTGATTTTATTTATATTGATCTTGCTATTCACCTTATTTTTCACGGATGAGCTGCACAGCCATTTGAAATGTTTTGGTTCAAGACTTCCTGTTTCATTCATTTCCATTTATTTTTAGATCTTAAAAACCGCTTGTTACACTGCTTGATGTTGCAAACTGATACTTTTGTATTATATGATTCTGCTTAGTCTGTATAATCACACAAACACTTGTTTGTAGAGCAAGTAGTTTGACCGTTTTCTGTCGTTAATTATTCCTAGTCGTTTCTCCCATATGCAACTGAATCAGAAGTTCTAAACCATTAC